TGGTGGGTTGGGTTCGCTGCAGGCCACCTCAAAGATCAATGGCAGCTGTTCACTGAGAGGAAAACATTACTCACTCCCATGGACTTTTTCAACAAAACTCTTCAGAGATTGCACAGAGAAAACCCACTCCTCTTAAAGGAAAAGATAAAAAAAAAAACCAAAGTGAGTCTAAACAAGGTGCGGAGCTCGGCTGCACAGCCGTGACAAAAAATACCAAATTCAAACGCCAATCACAGTTGATGTTCGTTACGTACATTCTTATCGTTCAATTCTGTATAAAACATGACGTATATTAACCTGATGTTCAGACCAGGCTGGTACTAAACCTTTCCTTCTTCTCTGTTACAATTACTCAAGGAGTCATTTTTAAATAAAAAAAATAATAAATCCCTCGTGTCAAATCTTTGCGTTTGTCCCTTCATCGTGTGAAGATCTTCTCACATGCAGCAACTTTCTCCTCAGTGAACTCAGTGCAGTCAGTCTGTCGGGTCGTAACCAGCTCTATAACAACACCGTTAAACTGTGGCATCAGGACGAGGACAATCATTTTACATCAACATCAGTGTCTTTAACAAAAGAGCTGAATCAGTTCAACACTGAACTAAAACAAAACTGTCGTCATCCACAAAAAATGCAGCTCTGTCAGAGTGACAGGCTGAAATCTGAGAGCAGAACAAACTCAGGATGGACTTCTTCATTTCATCACCTATAGAAAAAAAAACCTAATCATAAAAATATGAAAATCATGCTGTGGACTTCCTGTATGGGCCATGTGACTGCGTTTGACTTTCCACCACTCCTGAGGATGAGGAGCAGGCAGACATAAGCAATTAGTTTAATGGGTCTGCGGACGTGGGCGTAATTAATGCAGACGGGGGGGGCGGGGAGTGGGGGGGTCTTAGTGTGGTTGGCCAGTCATCGCCCGGGGCACCGTCACACAGACACCTATTCACAGTTTCTCTAATCGTACGAACCTCATCAGCCTCTAACTCACAGACACAAAAAAAACCCTTCAGTATGAAGACACTAAAAAGACTCAGAACTTTCACAAAAACATAATTATTACAGTCGCCACAAGAGAGGAATTAGAAGATGAAATGAGTGAGGTGTGGGGTCAGAAATCATATAAACAGAAACAACAACAACAACCTGAGGCTCAGGTCTTCTAACTACCTTTTTGTATCGATCTTTTGACCTTGGTTCGACTGACCGTCAACATCTTCCAAACGTCTCTGCACTGGTTTGTTATCATTGGGTCAAACTTGTT